TCTTTGTATTTAAGAGTCTCTTATGACTTGCCTCCCTCTCTGTTTGAAACTATTTCCTCCCTTCCCTTCCCCCATTGTCTTCTGTTAAGTTTCTCAAGTTCCACATATGAGTGAAAACATATGATATTTTTTTCTGACTTATTTCACTTAGCATAATACCCCCCAATACCATCCCAACTGTTGCAGATGTCAAGATTTCATTGCCAAGTAGTATTTCAGCACAATTTTTTTTACAGTGTCCACAGTTCCATGTATTAAGTGAGTTAGGTCTAAACAACTTAAGAGTAGTAGTGGTAAGCTGGGTGTCTGACAAGTGTCACTGGGTTTCCCCTGAAAATATCCCACAGAGCCCCTGTGAGTTTGCTGTGGTGCCCCAGGGCTCTATGGTGCATAGTTTGGAAAATGTCATATCCTTGAGAACTCAACAACAAAGTTCAATCACTGCTTATTCTCTTGGAAGAGTGGATGAATGAGAGAGTGGAAAAGAAACCAGGAACATTTACCCCAATGGAGCTTCCTCCACATGGAAGAAAACTTGATGAGAGGGAAGAAACATACTCTTGTGCCCCCTCCCCCATTCCCCACTCTGATAGGTTTCAGCTCAGTTACCCCTGAGCTGATATCACTTCCCAGGCTAGCAGACTGGATAGTGTCTATTTAGAAGCTGCACCTTCCAGTGTTCTTAGTACCAGGTTCATCTTTGGAAGGGAAATGGAAAGTAAGAGGATAACCCCAGGGACATAGCTAGAAAACATTTCTATAGCCTGCCCTTTCAATTCTGCATGCCCTAAGGCCAAATATTATGAAGGCCAAGGAGAAACTTATCTTTGTTTAACTAAGTTAGATGCAGACTGTCAATTCTATAGAGCTTCTGAGCACACAAGTTTCTCTTTGCCTGTAGCTTTAAATGGAAGTGAATCTGCAGTGAGGAAAATGAACAGCTGAGCCTCTCATGTGTATTCTGAATCCAACAATAAAATGTCCACTTCTTTATAATGCAAAATTTCTATTAGTAATGGAAAGGAATAGAGGGTGGATTTCTAGTCCTAAACAACTAAGTATTTCCTGTGTGCGCCTCTCATTTAAACCATAGAACCATGCCCAGTCTGCATTTATAGCTTGATTGATCAAGTGTGCATTTCAATCAGTCATATTGGCCTCATCAGTAAAATACTGGTATTAGCAAAACACGAATTGCTAAATGTGCAAAAACTTTACCAAAGAGGTCAAGTATTTAATTCATTTGTATTGAAATTTCACTCTGTCATACCCAATACATACAAATTTAAGAGTTTACAAACTATGTTTGTGAAAACATTTTATTTGACCTGTTACCTCCCTTCCCTGCCAAAAAGCAAGCACCTTCCAGGGTGGACTACTGGGTTTTTCTCTGAACCCCTGCCTTAGGAGGAAGCACTGTTGAGTCCAAGACATGAGTGAGAAGAAGATGGGTTTTGGATGGCCACCATGGATGCCTGTAGAAGGAAGAGGGCTGGTCACTTAATGGACAGCCAATAGAAGCATGACTTTCTGGGGAGGTCCAAGGGTCTTCCGAAGAGGCCTGCTAAACAGCACACAACCCTCCCAGCCTCACCTGCCATGCTGCAGATGCTTCTTGCTTTCCTTTCCCTTGTTGCTTTGTCACATCCTGACAGCTCGGACCTCACTGTGCTCCTCCCTGGCCCCACTTTCACCTAGCTATCCCACTTCTTATCCTCCTATTAAGCTTCACTCCTCCAGAGATGCTGATAACCTAAAGGAGCCTCCTTGGAGGCTCAGTTTCCTTGCCAGTAAAATGGGGATAATTAATAATCTCTGCTTACTTTGTGGACTGATTATGAGGATCGAATGAGTTGTGTGTTAGAGCATTTAGTTGACTGCAAAAATGCTATATAAATGTCAGGTGTTGTAAATCATGAGCTGGTCTATTCTTCAGCTAAAGGACTTTCCATGCATAGTTTAGTTACCCTCTGAACAGTTCTTTGTCAAGTAGCAAATGTAAATGCTGCTGTTTTTTTCCTGCTTGGCTTATGGTGGCTCCTTTGCAACTTTATGATGTAGGCTGAATCTTTAAGTACTCCTTTGGCTCATATCTCTTCCCCTGAACACCCATGCAAGATCATAATCCATAAAACAGAGGCAATAACTCCTTTTAATTGCCAGGAGTTCATCATTTGCTAAGTTCTAAATGCAGTCACTTAGACACTTGCCTTGAAAAGCCTGTCTGTGTTTCTTCCACAGAGCCGAGACTGTGTGAAACTGGGCCCTCCTGCTGAGGGAGAAGTTGTCCAAGTCAAGTGGCCTGATGGCAAACTCTATGGAGCAAAATATCTGGGATCAAATGTTGCCCACATGTACCAGGTGAGTGCTGTCCTGTGTGAGATGTTCACTGAGAGGAAGCCAGAGGGCACATGTATATCCAGTATGCTGCTGATGAATAGGCCACATGAATTTGGAGCACCTCTTCTTTTTTAAAGGAGGCAAAGGTTCAATGTCTGATGGCACAGATATTGGAGTTTTATTACCAAATTCAACACTGGGAAACTCTATTAGCATTTGATGAGTGGTTTAATTGTAAAGAATATAGGTAGACCCCAAAGATAAGCGACTGGATGGTAGGCTGCTTTCTTGTGTTTACATCATATGGGGAGAGACTAATTGGCTGATTTATCTCACTGTATGCCAAGACAGTGATGGCTGTTCATCAGCTAGTAGCCCCTGAGTTGGTGGCTTTTACTTGAGAGACTTACCTCCATTGGGTGTCTCAGCAAACCTAAATCAACTGTGTGTTGACACAGTTGTGGCCGTTTGTCCACTTAAACTTAATGGAGTGCTTATTTAATGAAAAGTAGAGCTATTGGTTGGATATTCTGTTAACTAGGGAACTCTGCATATTATTAAAGAGTGCATATGCAATTAAACTGAAAATATTTTATCTCTGTCAGAAATGAGAATGAGTTAAACTCTAACAAAACAACATGGATGGCAGATGTGCGTTTGTATTCCTTCAGACTTTTTTTTAAAGTTTATTTATTTATTTTGAGAGAGACAAAGAGAGATAGAATGAGCACAGGAGGGGCAGAGAGAGAGAGGGAAGCAGAGGATCCAAAGTAGGCTGTGCACTGACAGCAGAGAGCCCAGTGCTGGGCTCAAACTCACGAACCATGAGATCTTGACCTGAGCCAAAGTCAGATGCTTAACTGAGCCACCCAGGTGGCTCTCCTTCACAAGGAGAACACATTTATTAGAATCCATACATTGTAGTACTTTCAGTAACATGATGGCAGAAATCAACATTCTCAAGCTAAGCAGTAGAGCAAAAACAGGAAGATTGAAGTTAAAAGAAGAAAAGAGTAAGAAGGTTCAGGCCTATTAAGTTAAAAACAGCTGGAGAATGATAAGACTGCCAGTTTCAGCTTAGAATTGTTCAAAGACTGATAAGGGGCAGGGGTTTAAGTGGCAGAGTACATTATAAGACACTGAATCAGGAACTAGAGCACAATGTAATTAAAGGGGTTCAAAGAAGTTTAGGAAACGAACATTTTTTTAAGGCCTAGAAAAACCCAAGGTGAGCAGGTAGGAGAGCACATTTATGTGTATGTTGTAGGTGTGTGTACTGGTGCACATATGTGTGCATGTGTGTGTCAAGGCTGTTTTCCCCTTTGTATTGGTCTATAGTGTTAAGTTGCAGATTCAGGTCATTTGTGATAGGGTAGGTGCTGGAGTTTCTTTGCATCAGAACATCCAGAATTAGGCAAAAAACATAAGACAGACTGATAATAGTGGAGACTCCTAGAAAAGAAGCATTACTACATGATTCAAAAGAAAATAATGACATTTAATTAAACAATAAATGTAAAAGTGAAGCATCTTACATGTAGCAAAACTTAGCTACATGAAAAGTATCACAGTGAGGACCCGATGAAATTCAGGCTAATTAGTAATCAGTATGTTAACTTAAGTGGAATTTATGATGGCCTATCAACATAGAACTATAAGCATATTTATAGACTCCATGAAAAAGTTAAGACTAATATTAAAATTATCTCTCAAGTACAAGGAATTTAAAATTCCTCATTAAACCAAGTGCCCTTTTGAGATCATTTTGTGTTTTGTGTCTAACTGTTCAGCCTCATCATTGAATAAGCAAAGATGTTCACAAAAAAGATACAAATAAAATACCTATTGCACAGAGCTAAATATGCTAAGTGTGTGCACTTTTTTTGACCCTCACAGTAGCCCTGCAAGATAAATGTTTTTGACTCCTATTTTACAAATGAGGGTAAAAAGGTTACATGAATTTAATAATTTGTTGAAGATCACACAGCTGGTAAAGGGAAGGACCAGAGTTTACTCTAAGCTGTGTCCCAACTAGGGTGAACAACCATCCTAGCTTGTGAGGGACTGTCCCTAATTTTAGCACTAGAAGTCCTGCATCCCGGGAGACCCCTGGGTCCTGGGATGATTGGTCATCACACCATACTCCCTTTCAGTTTTATAATTGCCTTTTTCGCTTTTCAGAATTTTCAAATGATCTAAAACAGAAGAAAGGTAGGCACAAGTACTTCTAGCTGTGCTATCAAAATGTATAAATGAGATGACACCTTGGCCTAATTAAATATTAAAGAAACCACTCTGCTAAAATAAGGCCAGGAAGAAAAGCCTTCCCATCTCAGCCTTCTGGGAAGTAACAGGGAGAGCTCTCCTGTGACCGAGACCTAATTCCAACCGATTGTTTCAGCTTAGTCAAATGTGTGTAGTACATGGATAAAAAGAAAATTATATTTTTATCCTAATTTTAGTATTTTTTGAAGTCCAGCAGATTTTTTTTTATTATTAACCTAGTACAGCTGCAAAGTTTCACTTACCTTTTAACCAGAAATACAAGCCTATTTTTATTGCTTACACCTAAAGAATTCAGACAGACAACTTAGGAACTTCAAAAATGTCATAAGTGGCTCAGGGTTAGAACATATTAGATATTGTGCCCTGAGGGCACCTGGGTGGCTCCGTCGGTTAAGTGTCTGACTTTGGCTCAGGTCATGATCTCACGATTCATGAGTTCGAGCTCTGCATTGGGCTCTTTGCTGTCAACACTCAGAGCCTGCTTCAGATCCTCTGTCCCCTTCTGTCTCTGCCCCTGCCCCACTTGCACTCTCTGAAAGTAAATAAATATTAAAGAAAAGAGAGAGAGAAATGGAGTAAAAGAAGGGTGCCTGGGTGGCTCAATCAGTTAAGTGTCTGCCTTGGCTCAGGTCACAATCTCGGGGCTTGATGAGTTCAAGCCCTGCATCAGGAATTCTGTCTCTTCTCTCTCTCCTTTCTTGGCACCTACCCTGCTTGTGCTCACTCTCTCAAAATAAATAAATAAACTTAAAAAAAAAATATATTGTGCTCTGATTGCATCCCTTTTGTTGTTTGCTCCTGATAGAGCTCATGTGTGGTTTAAGACTAAATCAAGACCAATTACTTTGAATAGGGAATTTGATGAATTTCCCCCAGATGCCCTTGGTTTCTTTTAACCAGTGTCACTTACTTTTCTCTGACAAAATCTTCTAAAATGTTGAAAATACTGGTTATGCAGTTATTTGATGCCATTTGATTTACTTGAATAAAAAGTTTTAAATTTCATTTTAGATGAAAGTTTTCACCCATTATTGTGGTTTTACATGTTATGAGGTTGAGAACCTGGGATTTTTCTGGCCAAATGGTTGAATTTTATAGGAGTTTTGAACGTTCTCTAATAACTTGAGAAATTACTTTATCCTGGAGGATTATTATACAAGAGTAAATATATCATCATTTGTCCCTCTTAGGGTGTCAGAGCCTCTTAAAGAAACAAATGGTACTGACAGGCCCAGCTCTTAATGCCAAATTGGCCATAATTTCATATTCGAAGAAATCATTGAGGAGCCGCTGTGTTTCTTTGTTTTTGCTTTGGGGGTAGGGGGAAGGGATAAAGTTTTCATATCACATATTCCAAGACACTCATTTTCAAGAATTTTGGCCTGTTTGAAAGCATATGTTGTTAGTTTAATAAAGGGAAAGAGCTTTTCTTTGTTCTTTAGCTGTTGGCTGGTCCTCTTGTTTGTTCTGCTTGATCCTTTTTCCCTTTTTTTAGTTACTTAGAACCTTGAAAAAAATGGTGAATGCTTCTTTGTGTATGTATGTGTATATGTGATATTGTGTGTATGTTTTGTTGTATGCATGATATCTTATTTCTCATTAGGTTGAATTTGAAGATGGATCCCAGATAGCAATGAAGAGAGAGGACATCTACACTTTAGACGAAGAGTTACCCAAGAGAGTGAAAGCTCGTTTCGTAAGTGCTGGCAAATACCCCTTGGGGATCCACCATGTGAATCTCTCATCCTCTCCCTCTGTTTCCCAAGCCCAGCAGGAAGCATACTTAGGCATTTGGATTGATTTCCAGAAAGCCAATGCAACTTTTCCCTTACTTATGCAAGCCTAAAATTTGGCCCCAAATGGGAAACCAGTGTAGGTTTCTTGTTTTTCTTTCTAATGAAGTCAAATGATGTTAACATTTATTGGCATACCAAAATAGTTGTTGAATATGTACTTATAATCATGTCATCAGAAGCAACATTAAAGGAAGTTTTCAATAGTTGTTTAAAAGGGACACAGTATAAGTGAGCATCTGGTTTCCTATAGCCGTATCATATACATTAACTTCTCTCCAAAAACTCATTAATATGTCAGTTCATAATTAAACCAAGCTCTCACTTTTATAACTAAAGGAATTTTAAAAAGCTCCAAAAGTAGTTGTGGGAATACTAAAGCAGTTTCTAAAAAGAAAAAAAAGAAAGAAAGAAAATGTTTTTAGTTTCAAGCTTTACACATTCCATTAAAAGACAAATAAACATGGACAAATAATCAAAACTGAAGTTGTTAAAAAATATAATTCACAATAACTTAGATTTCATTATTGTATCATAAAATATTTAGTGGACCCTGAAATGAAGTCAATTTTATTCATTTAGAATTGCATCTACTATATCTGAAAAATGATAAATCCTGAACAGGGAAATTTGAAAGAATGGGATTTTTTTGACTAAAATGAATTTTGTTTCCAGAATAAATGACACCCTTAGTTTTCAGCACATGCTTATGATATACTTTTCTGCAGTGATAGTTACCTTAATCTGGAAAATCCTTGGATTCCTTAAGTCTTCAGTTGTATATTTAGTTCCTTTTCCTGTCAGGTGGGATTCTGGGAACAGGGTAACTGCACCACGTGTCAACTGTCTTTCTGAGCTGCATCCTTGAGAGGAAGGTCCTTCACAGTGAAATTGTCAAGAGAAGAGTGACAGTACAGCAGTGGTACCTGCCCAATGAGAAATGTGGCACATAGGGGACCCAAACACCTAAAAATAGATTAACTGCCAGATAAACTGCAGGGAAAGAGAAAATCAAATATTCCTGTTGTAAAGACATTGGCTAAATCCTAACAAAGATCTAAAAAAGTCTGGATAGCTTGTCCAGCCCTACATCTTTAAATCTCTGAAGAACAACTTTTCCTCTTCAGGATGCTAAAGATGGCTACCTTTCATGTTGTGCTCCTGTCTTCCATCGATTCTCCCTCATCTCCCTGCCCTTCCTTGCCCCCCACTCCTTTATTTATTCATTTATTTATTTACTCACTCACTCACTCACTCACTCACCTAGAGATTAAAAGATGGGGAATGGAGTAGGCAGTCCTCTGTAAGTCACTCAGGTCTTTGGTTTTCTAATGTGTGTATGATTAAGCACCAGCTAGGTCTTGTGGATTTAAAATACTGTTTCTTAATCACACTAAAAGAATGCTTTTTTTGCTTTTTGTTCAGATCATAATCTCTTTGTTCCATAATAGATTTGGCTCCAATACCAGGTTGCCTTCCTACATAGCTTTATTCAAACCCAGCTCCTGAATTTCCTAAGATCCATTTCTCTGAACAGTCATACCAACATCCAACTTTTTTTTTATTCTCAGAGAATTTTTTAATTAAAAATAAAAGTCAGTGAAAAATATATAAATCATGTATATTATCTGAATGTAAACTGTTATATCAAATAGTTGAGCCTAGTAGAAAATATCTTTAGGAGCAAAGGCTCACAGTCATTAAATCCAGTTTGCTACCTCTGTTTTTATTGAATCAAAGACTCCTCTGCTCCTGTTATAGCAAACCAGCTTTTCCTTCAGGTTAGTATATCACCCTCAGGCCCTTGGTTGGTCTATGACTGCTATTTTTTTTTTCCAGTTGGTGAAACAAATCTAATTGGAAAAGTCATTGATGGAAGATATTTTATGATTAGAGAAATCTCTTTTGTTTTTCTAAAGGAGGGGGTGGGCTAGCAGCCTCACTGCTAAACAGGAGGCCTCATATTTTAATGACTTCTGCTCACCCAGACACACGCTGACTTGGGAAGAAATTTTTCAAAAGAGTCAGCAGTCCACCTCAGTGATTTTGCGGGGGTTCTTTCCCACTAACTTCAGAAACGGCCCCATTACCTTTTATTGTCTCACAGAATAACCATGGCAACAGTGCATAATTAAGTAGAGCTGCTGGTAAATCGGTTTTATTATTGTATTTGAAAGGCTGACTTTTGCTGTTCTCGCACAATGGCAACACTTTCATAGATGTTTTATTTTCTCTTTTGATAACTTTAGCACTTACAAAAGGGAAAGATTACTCAGAGGAAGTGCTTTGCCAAGAATGAATGAAACAAAACTGTTTTCTCCTAATGGCAGAGGGTGCCCAACCAACTCATAATCTTTTAGTTATTTTCTTCCCAAGTGAAACAAGGGAGTGTCTGGGGGACCCGTGCAGGTAGCCTGTTACCCTGAATAACCATCTCATGAACTGTCAGGGAACATGCCTGCTGTGCACGTAGCTCCATTTTTTTAGTTTTCGAGCTTCTTTGTAACTGTTCCATTGTTTATCTCTTCTTCATGATTGACCATGTGTTTCAAGCCCTCAAAACTGGACTCTGCCTCTGTCACCAACCAGGGGAGGTGGCCTCAGTGATAGTGAGATCCACTGTGCATTGGTATTGTCAGGAGTGATCTACCTCAGTGAAAACCAGTTGGAAATGCATTTTAGAAGGCAAAGCAGTAGGGAATTAGGAAGCGAAAATAGTCTCCTAACGTGGCCTTTACCTGAGCATAACAGAAAAAGCCCACATTCCTTCACCTAGCTAACAATTAAGCAGTGACTGAGTGCTGGGCATGTTGCTTGGTGTGGAGAACACATAAAATTCTGAACTCAGTGTCTAATATCCTCACCCTCAAGGGGTTCAAGGAATCCCCAGTGGGGAGAAACTTACCTGCCCCTCATCTCTGCCACTGACCTCATTCTGTGGCATTGACTTGTAAAGTCTGACTGGAACCAGAAGAAGAGCCCTTGAGTCTGCCTGTGGCAGAGAAAATAGAAAGCTTCCATGCAAAGGAAAAAGTACGTCTAATGACAGAAAAGCATGAGCCAGTGAGACATGGTCAGGAACTGCAAATAATTCTATTTGACCAGAACGTGGCATAGGATTATGCCAGGTTTTGTAGGTCCAGCCTAGGGATCTCAGGTGCCATCTTAAAGGCAGCAAGGCTGTTGAAAGATGATAAGCAGGGATGTCATGGGATCAGACAGTTTGTAAAGCACTTTCTTCCAGTGGTTCTATAGAACAAACTCGGGGGGGTGCAGCATTTGCAGTGGTTTAGCAGAGGAAATGTGAAGGCCTGCACCAGGGAGTCAGCCAGAATAAAGAAAGGAGGGAGGGCTACAAGAAATATGCAGAAGGGATCCTGGACTTGGTGGGGGCGGGGGACATTACCAATGACTACAGTGCAGCTAGATGGATAGGATAGGTAGGCCATGTGTGCAGTATGGGAAGGACAGTAATGGGGAGGGAAGACTGAGTTCAATGTAGGGCAGCTTGATGTGAGGTGCCTCTGGGGTCAACACTCTGAGACGCCTCCTGGGCAGTTGGATGTGCAGGCCTGTGCACAGGAGGGGGTCTGAACTGGAGTGAGAGGGGTGAGCATCCTTGGAGAAGAAGCAGGAATTAAAGCCATGAGTATGGGTGTGAGGGGTCAGAGAGCATATGTGGAGAGGAGAAGTGCAAAATGCCAGGAGCCTCAGAGTTGAACAGATAGTTAAGAAAGAAGAACCCCTGAGACATCAATAGTCAGAGCCAGAGGAAGAAGAGAGGCAGGAGGAAGGCCTTATCAATGTCAGATAAGTGAGCTGCCAGCAATACTTAAGTAACAGAAATAGTCAAATAAATTTAGGATGGAAAAGTGTCATAGAAAGTGGACTGGAGCAAGGACAGTTTCAGGGAAGGTGTACGGGCAGAGGCCCAGAGGTAAATCGGAATTGGGGCGAATTAGAGATGACTGTTGACAAATTTGTCAAAAACTTGGTTGGGCATGAGCCAGAGGGGAGGTGGAGAGTGAGGGAGATTTAAATGAGAAGACTTCAGTGCTGCTTCTGCTGGGGCAAGGTCCCTGGGGGTGAGGCTACATGGAGTCAGGAGCCTGGCTGAAGCAGGTGGGGAGCCTCCAAAATCCTGGGCCTGTGGCCTGGCCTCTGCACCCCATCCTGAGTTGGTTGGATCAGATCTTTGTCCATTCTTGTCATGGTCAAATGCTGTGCCTTCTGCACTGTGATGCTGGCTCTTTCTAGTCCACAGCCTCTGATATGCGATTTGAAGACACATTTTACGGAGCAGACATAATCCAAGGGGAGAAAAAAAGACAGAGAGTGCTGAGCTCCAGGTTTAAGAACGAATATGTGGATGACCCTGTGTACCGCACATTTTTGAAGAGCTCTTTCCAGAAGAAGTGTCAGAAGAGACAGTAATCTGCATATACTGCTGTAGGCAACCAAGCAAGTTGGGCCGGAAGAAGAAAGATGAAGGGACAGCCTTGGGGCCAGCGATGTGTTTCACTGGGGTAGGTGGCGGGGGTGTTTCTGACAGTGGAAAATTAGGCTTGCCAGAGTTTGTCACCCAAACCACAGAGTACAAGTGTTACTAATTGGACACAACAATCTGAAGTCATCCCCTAGTCCTGCTTTCACTTGTGAGCAATTGTCTTCGATGATCCCAAAGAACTTTTCTAAGTAAAAGGAAATAATAATGAATCACCCACCAAAAAAAGCCACTGCCTGAGGAGGCGGGTCCCACATGTGACCTAATTAGGCCTTTAGTCAGGAAACACATGGAGACTTTTCTCCACAAGCCCAGCAGGTGGGAGCCTCCATACCCAGGTAGGAGGGTGATCATTTATATATTTTCCACAGTCAGGGAAGGACTCTCACTTATTTAAATGGCAGTTTTTATAAAACATTTTTAAAATACAAATGGCCTGTATGGTAATGAGATTTACCCGTGTGCTATCTGTAATTTCCCTTGTACAGAACTTTTACAATTTTTTATATCCCTATTACTTTTGATTGTGTCTGATGAGAACTGAGTTGTTGGCCTTTGTGAAATTTTTGGCTCTTGAGAAAGAATTCTTATGAACTGTATGGGAATTTTATATATTTAAAGAGGGAGATCTGGGGCGGTTATTTTTAAACACTTTTTTTTCATAATATTCTGAGTAGATATTTATAAAATATATTTCTTTCATTATGTGTTTGTAAAATTAGAGTTTAAATAAATATGCTTTGATGCATAGTTTTCAACTAATATGATTTTTCCTTTTTAAAACAGCTTGAAAATGTACTAGTGTTTAAAAATAAAGATTTCCATTTTCTCCAATTCTGTCTTCTGACTTGCTTATTTGTTTAGGTTTATTTTTTTTTAATATTTTTATTTTTGAGAGAGAGAGAGAGGAGAGAGAGCAAGAACATGTGAACACGAGCTATGGAGGGGCAGGGAGAGAGGGAGACACAGAATCCGAAGCAGGCTCCAGGCTCTGTGCTTTCAGCACAGGGCCTGACACAGGGCTCTAATGTACGAGCTGTGAGATCATGATCTGAGCCAAAGTGGGATGCTTAGCTGACTGAGCTACCCAAGTGTCCCTGTTTAGGTTTAAATCAACAGAAAAACAGGTTTTCCTTAGGAGTTGGCTATGAAGACATATCAAAGTTTGTCAGGCCCTTCTTTGATCACAGACTTTTTACATAACTGGACACATTGCACAGATGTTTCAGGCAATGTCACTGGGCATAAAGGCTCTTCAGCCTGCCCATGGTGCCCATTAAAGTGTTTCCCTCAGCTCCTTCTAGGCCTTGAAGAACTCTGATCACCTAGAATCTGGAGTTCCTTTCATCCCAGGTTTCTTGGTCCCCAGTTCCCTTTAGAAAAGGCTGTGTGGACCCTCCAGTCCCTTGCCTCTCTTCGTAGATGAGCTGTAGAGAACAGGCAGGGAAGGGATTGACGAGGGTCACACAGTCCTTAGTGACTGCTTCAGTTAACTGTGGCTGCAGTCATGCTGCTTAACAAACAACTGCAGCATCCCAGCGGCCTGCAGTGGGAAGTGCTTGTTTTTCTTATGGGCCTGCAGTCTAAGCTGGGTTTGGCTGGGCAGCTGTGCTGACCTCACCTTGGGTGAGCTCACATGTCTGCTCCACATGTCTCCCATCATCCCACTGGACCCAGTGGACTAGCTCAAGTGTGTTCTTCTCATGTCAATGGCAGAGCCTGGAGAGCAGGTGAGCCCAGCTGAGTAAGCATATTTCAGTCCTCTCTGTGGTGCTGGTTAACACACTATGGGCCAAAACCCAGAGCCAAGGATTGGAGGGCATTTCAAGGTTTCATGGCAAAAAGTGTGGATGTATGGTGTTACTGGGTAGAGAGTAAAGAAGTAAAACAGTAATAACAGAACCACAGTTAAATCTCAGTTCTCCAGACCGCCTGCTGGCTGAGTGCTCATTTTCCAGAGTGCTTCATGCCTGAACTCTGAACTAGGGAAAGACCACCAGTCTTACTTTTACAGGGACTGAGCACTCCACATTCCCTACCAGTATCATCATATATTTTATCAAGTAATCAAGCTTGTGTTTTCTGTCTCCAGGTTTTGAATGAAACTGACCTGCCTTCTCCACAATATGCCAGGAAAGTAGGCCTGTGTAAAGCATTAAAAGGAATTAATCTAAATAGGATCATTCGTTCTGTACAAGTTTGCCTGTCAGCAAGATTTCTGATTGGCTGCCGCAGGGAGAAAATGTGCAGAGTTCTATGTGATCTCAAATACAGCTGTTTTTTATAGGCTCACTTAACTAATGTTCCTATAACCAAGTACAGCTGTATATGGCCTTAGCAAAATGATGCTGGCCACAGATGCACTCTGGCTCTTGAAAGAGACACCTTCGTTTCACGGCATTCTGCGTAAAGCCATTATTAGCTCTATGACCAGACAGATCATTAAAGCTTTTTCACTTACTATATGACACTTCAATTGTAATTTTAATTTCTTTGTGTTACACTAACTGCATTTTTAGTGTGTATGTGTAGCATGAAATCAGTTGAAGGCTAGCTTCTGGTATTAAAAAAATTGCTAGCTGTGACAATTCTAATGTAAATCTAATTGCAAGCCCTTTCTCTGGAGGTTAGAGGATTAATATAAACTGCCTGGCATATTTCACAACATTTTAGTTCCTTTATTTGTGTTTGAAATAAGAACAATGTGATTCTTGTCAGTTTACTTTTATTAAGGTGCTTTTGTTTAGTTCATCTAGAGAGAAATTGAGAAGAAGCCTCCATTAAAATATAACATGGCTTCTTGGAATACATTATAAATTGTTACTGGCTAATAGCATATGGAAACATGAAGACTCAGAATACAAAATAATTAGGAGGAATGGTTCTGCCACTTCTCCCTGAACCCATCCAGTGTGAAACAAGGCTGACATGCATATGGTACCATAAATGACTGGGAGGTCTTATGAGTAATCATATTGGAGTGTCTATGCTGCAAAATAACATTGTGCTTTATTTTTGCCTTTAAGTAAAAGGAATCTGAAATGAAACTATCTTTATTTCAGATATTAATCAGCCTCATAAACGTGAAGCTACTAGAGGCATGAAGTAATTATGACTGATTGGTTTCAAGACTCAATTGTACTACAGACTCTTTCTGAGAATTCAGATGTGCACTCATTGAAAGTGATACATGGTCTTTTGCCCAGTATGTTGCAGAGACATAAACCACTGACTGGTTGGGAGGACTCCCGGCCTCAGATGAGGTCTGAACTCTACAGCAAGTGGAGTCCTCCACCCTCAGAAGGTGCAGGACCTCTTGAAGAAATTGAACTTTATGAAGAGATTCTGATATTAATGATGTATTGAGTATCTATTTTGAATTCCCAGCCTTGTAGACTCATTAGTGGCATTTATTTACCTTATTTAACTTCCCCAAGAAATCAGTAAAGTATCATTCCTCGCTTTCATGGAAGAAAACTAAGGCTTAGGTTAAGTAACCTCTAAATCGCTCAACTTTTGTGATGCATGAAGAAAAAAAGGATTCTAAACCTAACCCAAACAAAAGACATTAGATAGACAACTCTGAAGCTCAAGACAGGAGTACTGGAGATGTAAATGAGGAAGGCATCATTTTTATTGGTAGATGTTTAAAAATACATGAAGCCTTACCGTCTGGCAAAGACAAAACTGTAAGGACAGAAAAAAGATCAGTGCTTGCCAAGGACTGGAAGTGGGGGAGAGTACTGACAACAAAGCAGTATGAAGGAGCTTTTTTGGGGGGTAGTGGAAATATTCTTTTGCTTGGTTGTGGTGGTGGTAACAGGACTATATGTCAAAATTTATAGAATTGAACACTGAAATAGGTTGATTTTACTATATGTAAATATCACCTCAATAAACCTGTCTTAAATAAAATCTAGGTAAACAGTGGGCAAGCCACCTAGACCGCATGTTCTGTGAGTAGAGGACAGGAAGTGAGACGAGATCAGAACCCTGGGATAGCTGAACAGATGGGGAGAAAAAGAGAAGTCTGTGAATGAGCACTAAAAGGGAAAACCAGGATGCTCTAATGTCCAGGATATCAAGAGAAGAAAGTGTTTCAAAAAGGAGGGGTGATCAACAGAGAGAAAATGCTGCAGAGTCCAAGTAAGATCATGTAATTGTTTATTAGGAGGCCAGTAGTGACCTTGTTGAGAGCAGTTCAAGTGATTTCAGATGAGAAATCTGTTAACGTTAAAATTGGTGTTCCCTGTGGACCAGCACCACCTCCTCATCCCCTTCCCTTCCTCCTTCCTATCCTCCCACCACCTCTCCCCCTCCTTTTCTCTCTCCTTTCAAGATTTTATTCTTTGTGTTCAGTTTTCAGAAGTTTGACAATAATGTGTCTTGGCTTTGACTTCTTTGGGTTTATTTCATTTGGGGGTTGTTTAACTTCTTGGCCTTTCACCAAATTTGGGAAATTTTTAGCCATCATTTCTTGGAATATTTTTTTTTAATTGTATACCCTTTTCTTCTCACCATCTGAGGCTTCAATGATAGAAGTGTTGGGTCTTTTGTTGTTGTTACAACAACAGGTCCCTGATGATTTTTTTAAAGTCTATTTTCTCTCTGTTCAGATTGGATAAATTCTATTGATCTGCCCTCAAGCTTACTGGTTCCATCCTTTGTCATCTCCAAACTCATTGAGCTCACTGAATGAGTTTTTTATTTTGGCTATTGTATTTTTCAGCTCTTTAATTCCCATTTGGTTCTCTTTTATATCTTCTATTTCTTTGCTGAAGTCTTCTATTTTTTTTCATTTGTTTCAAGAGAGTTCATAATTATTTGTTGAAGCATTTTCCTTCCCATTTAAATCTGTGTCAGATAATTCCACAATCTAATTCATTTTGGTATTAGTATGTGCTGTTTTTTCTCATTCAAGTGATTCTCC